CATCTTCCTGCTCAGATATGGGATGTTGTGTGACCTGGTGGATCTGAGTGGCATCTTTCCTAGCCCATTCCTAGCTGAAGAGATGGGTAGATGCTCCTCCTGAGTACTGGGAGCATCAGGGATGGGGCCAGCCCTGTAGTTCTGCAGCTTTGTCACCTCTGCCCAGCAGGGAGTAGCAGCCATGGCTCTGACAAAGCCCGTAACTTTGTGCCATGCTGGAGGGCACAAAGCTGGAGAAAGGGCAAGGATGTTTAGAGAGGAATCCTGTCCTGGTGCTCAAGGTCATATCTGCTCCACTCCTTGGCCCAGAGCTTGGTTCCTGGGAGCCAAGGCCTCTTTTCCACTCTGTGTCTAGGACACACAGCTGCTGGCACGGTCTTGAACACCATCTCAATATTGGAAGTACAGCACATCCTCAACTCCTTCAGTACTCCCCCAGGTGCTTGCAGCTGTGATTCCAGGGGTACCTTTTACGTCAACATCTGGACTCCCAACGTGGCACTCAGGCTGGCTAGAACCAGCTGCCCTGCCAGCGAAAGGTTTGGCTGCTCACAATCTCTGGATCACACACCCTGCCAGTCCCTGTGATCGCTGGGGTCAGAAGGAGAAGGCAAGGAGACTGGGTTTTAAGGAGTTAAACAACATGGAGTGATGACTTTGATGTCTAGAGGACCATGCAAGAGGACAGAGAGCCCTGCCATGGATATGCAGAACAGCAGGGACAGAGGTGAGGGCAGGTCCCTACTGGGGGCTACAGGACCCTCTCTTTGCATGGTGAAAAGCAGGGATGGAAGCCTGACAAGGCCAAGGGCTGTCCAGAGACATGGGTTTCCTTCTCCCGACTCACCCACACAGGCTGTGCCCGTGATATCTGCTGTGTAGCCCAGCCTGCAGTGGCAGCGGAAGGAGCCGATGCTGTTGATGCACTGTCCATTCTTGCAGAGGTTGGGCAGCACCTTGCACTCGTCGATGTCTGCAGGAGGGAGGGAAGGACCTGTTAGTGCCGGTGCTGTGCCAGCACTGTTCCAGGGCAGCTCAGACCCTCCCAGGGAGAGTACGATTGCATCGCAGAGGCTCCTTGTCTGCTCCGGGCACTCTGTAGGTCTGTCCCAGGCAGTTCCCAGGGGAATTCTGCCTGAACCCACGTCTCTGCTTTCACCCCTCTGCACTGAAGGTGATTTGGGCTCCAGCTCACCTCTCCCGTCAGTGGAGTACCCTGGCCCATGAGGACACATTTTCTTGTACTGGGCAGTGCCAGGAAGGGGGCAGAGTTCACACTGGGGGCCCCAGCTGCGCCCACTGTTGCAGCAGCACTCGGATTTGGTGACCAGGTTGCGGTTGGTGGAGGACATCTGGCACATGGTTTGCAGTACTTCAGTGAAGCAGAATCCTTGGCGGGTGTCTGGACAGAGAGAGTGGGGATACAAGGTCAGGATCTGAGGCAGTGTCAGCACCAGGGATAACCGAGCAGCCTGTCCAGCCTGTGCCAGTTCCAGCGTGGAAGGGCAGTGTGGTTTGGATAATGCTAAAGGTAAAGGTGATGCCCCAACAACCTTTCCCCTCAGAAACTCCACAACACCTGGAAAGCATCATCTGCTACTAAAAAGAGGCTGCTCAAGACCCACCAGGACTTGGTAATTACCAATACACTCTGTGCCAGAGGGACTGACTTCAAAACCTTCATTGCAGTCACAGCGGTAACTTCCCACCGTATTGATGCAGCGGCCATTGGGGCAGATTCCAGGCTTGGTGCGACACTCGTTCTCATCTAGGAAGGAAGGAGCCACAAAGAGCTGCACTGAGGCATAGAACAAATTTCAGCTTTCCATGAGTCCTCATGGTAGTACTCAGTTTGGAATGCCCTCACATAGTCCTTGAGGACCACTTCCACATCCTTAGGCAGCTAAGAAACACATCCACTTGCCCTGGACCTCTCCCAAAGTAGGGTGGTTGAGTACCTGGCTTCCTTGATTTGCACATTCTCCACCTGCAAGCGGCTAAGCAGGAGCTAGAAGTAGAGCTGGGCTCACTCTGCATGCCTGCTGTGCCTAATACTGTACAGGTCTGGGATGGTCCTTCCAAAAGCAGCTCAGTGCAAAGAAGCTTGACACAGACATGGAAAGACTCAACAGAAAGGACACATGGCATAATGCTGTGTCATCCTGTGCTGGAACTGTGTAGACCCATGGGTCCAGAGATGAACAGAGGTTTTGTGTGTGCAGGCATCTAGTAGGACATACAGGAAGTTCTGGCACATGGGAAACTCTGGGGAGGAGCTGTTCAACAGAAGGATGTAGAATAAAGCTACAATGCCTAGAAGAGGACGGTCTCTAGCCCCACTGGAACCCCTCCCAGCCCGGTCCTTGGTACCTGTGCAGCCCTCTCCATCGGGCCTGCGTTGCATTCCTGGTGGGCAGATGCACATGAAGGTGCCAATGAGATTCTTGCACAGCATCCCTCGAGACTCACAGTCGTGCAGTCCCTCTGCACACTCATCCAGATCTGCAACCGAGAACCTCATGAGACTATGTTCAACCTGCCAGCTCTGCAGCACTGTGGGGGCAACTAGGAACCGAGTGCTCACATCTGCACTGCTCCACCAGTCCCTACTGTCTTGACCAGGCTGGCTGGCACACAGCATAGACACCCAGGTAGGTGAGAGTGAGCACAAGCCCAGAGATGCCAGCTCAGAAGTCCGGCCGTCTCTCTGTACAGCACCAGAGACTGGCTAAGTACAGGGGGCTGGGGAGAGTGTGGGAGCTCCCCTGATGGGTGCAGGAGGGGATTTTACCTCTGCACATTCTTCTGTCTTCTCGGAGGGCGTAGCCAGATGGGCAGGTGCACTCGTAAGAGCCAAAGGTGTTGATGCAGCGGAAGGCACAGAGCAGGGGATTCAGCGCGCACTCGTTGATATCTGGGAGGCAGCAGGAGAGAGAGGAGAGCTCAACTCTGTGCTCTCCGCAGAAGCAGCTGAGCAGTAACAGTGGTACACCTCCCCAGGACGGACTCCCACCCTGCGCATTCATCTCATGAGAACTTTGTTCTACCAAGGCTTCCTGTCATGGTCTTCAGTTTCAGAGGGACAGACTCCTGGTATCTCAGCAGCTTTGATGGGGACAGAGTCCTGGCTCCTTGGTGAGGCAGTTCCTGCATTTAGGCAGGTCTACAGACCTCCTCTTGGGCTCCAGTCTCCAAGGAAGCTGAAGTGGACCAGTGTTCATGTGGAGATGAGCCTCTGCCAGCTTTTCTGCACTGTCCATTGGAGGCTGACCTGACTGCCACTCATCCAGGCATCAACCCAGTGGGATCACACACATGGCCCAGCATGCAATGGGGGTGAAGGGATTCCCCCCCAGCAGCACTACCTTCACACGTCATCATGGGACCTGGCTCAAAGCCCTCATCACAGGCGCACTCGAAGCCTCCCACCACGTTGGTGCAGGTGCCGTTTCCACAAGGGTTGCCAATGGAGCACTCATCGGTATCTGGAGGAAGCCCAGACCACGTTAGGTGGATGAGTTAGATAGGAGAGGTGCACACTGGTCTCTTCTTGCAGCCAGAGCATTCAAACAAGCCCAGCAAACCAGGAGCCAGGGTAAAAAGCAAAGGGCAGGGGAGAAGCAAGTTCCTTCTCTCCACACACACACGCACACACGTGTTCGTAGCCTCTGATGTAAGGAGGATAAAAGCAAGAGGGAGCAGATCCCCCCGTGCAGACCCTTACCCACGCAGTTGACTCCTGTGTAGTCCAGGTTGTACCCAAAGGGGCACTCGCAGCGGAAGGACCCGTCAGTGTTAATGCAGGCTCCATTTATGCAGACACCCAGGTTCTCTGAGCATTCATTAACATCTAGAAGGGAAACCAAGGCAAAGAAACCTCATGTGAGCATGTAGCCAGAAACATATTCCTGTCCTCTCAGATACTCTCTCTCCAGAGCCAGGGGCTGAACCACTGGTGAGTAGTCAGAGACCATGAGCTTGCGAGGGAACCCAGTCCTACATCCCTCCCTTCCTGCCACTGGGATTCAACCCTCCTCTCCAGATAGCCTAAGTCTGGTTGCTTTCAGGCGAACCTCCCACGCCCACTCAGGACAAATTTCTCCTCATCCCTACATCAGACCTCACCTTCTCGGGTGTCACCTGGGCCTGGGATGGCTCCATGGCCATACGGACACAACTCCTGGAAGGCAACTGGAAGAAAGCAGAAAAGTGAGATATGTTTACAATTGTTTCCACTGAAATGAGCTGAAATGTGCTTTGGAGGCTTCTCGGGCATGACTGAAAGCTTGACAGCTCACTGCCCATGGGAGGCTACAAAACCCCAGCTGGAAAACACCTGTGCTTGCCTTGGATCTGGACACATCAAGATGCTTTTGCCTTATCTAAAGCCCCACAGAGAACTGAGAGCAGATCCAAAACAGAAAAACAATCCATTTCTGAAGAGCCTGACGGTGGTTGCTGGAGATCCAAGGAATACTGCAGTCCAGCAAGGGCTACTAGGTTTCAAGGCAGTACTCTCCAGATGGAGGAGCCCACTTTGCGGGATGGCTTGCACTGCTGGTTGTCTTTCCTGACCTGCACACCTTCCCCACACTCTGTGCACATCGGAGACATAGGCAGCCATCTGTCCCGTGGAGCTAGGTCCCAGCACACCTACCGTTTCCTTCCTGGGGACACAGCTCACAGGGGTCTCCCCAGCCTTCTCCTGGCATCTTGCTGCAGCAACACCGAGCCTTGGTGGTGTTGAAGGCCTTGGGGACAGAGCACTTTCCGTTGTCGAAGCGAGTGAAGCAGAAGCTCTGGCGAGTATCTGTAGGAGGATGGGGAAATGCACAGGGCATTTGCAGATGTCCAGGATGGTTACAGTCACCCCCCACTATGCTGAGCTGCACTCACCGAAGCACCGTCGGCCGTTATCAGACAGCACAAAGCCTGGAGGGCAGACACACTGGAAGCTGCCAGGGGTATTGGTGCATGTCCCGAAGAGGCAGATGTTGGGCTCCTCTTCACACTCGTTGATATCTGGGAGTACCACAGACTTATTACTTACAGAGCAGCCAAAGGTCACTTCTTTCCTCATTGCATTAAAATCAGCTGAAGCTGTGATGTCCGGCAAGCTCTGATGCCTGCAGGCCATCACCCCAGTCCCAACCTTAACCCACCCTCAGGGCAAATGGGACAATGAAGAGGCCAGGGCACAGGAAAACCACAGAGCCTCGACCACCATGGGAGCAGGCCTTGCCTTGCTCTGTGCCCCACTGCTTTCAAGAGGGTCTCTGGGGGTGGTGATGCATGCCCCAGCCCATTCAGGAAGAATATGGCTGTTCTGGGAATAGTCCAAGGTGACCACATGCTGTGCTGGAAATGGAAGAGGCAGAGAGCCAACATTACCGATGCAGTTGTCGTTCTGCACCTCGTACCCAGGGGGGCAGATACAGCGGAAGGAGCCCTCCAGGTTCTGGCAGGTGCCCGGAGAGCAGGTCCCAGGCAGGCTCACGCACTCGTTGATGTCTGCACGGGAGGGGGAATAACCAGTGATAGTGTCTGTGCTCAGTTCAGAGGACTTGGGTGCAGGGTACCTTGCTGCACCCAGGCCCTACCTACAGCTGCACCCTGCTTTGCCCAAAAAGACACAAGGGAAGCAGATGAAATGTTTTCCAGGGTGCTCTACCTTGTGTACCCTGGGAAGATGGCCTCAGCCCTGCAGGACCTGGTGCTGCAGGAGGCAATGCGGTGGACAAAAGTAACCAGGGTACAATATGCCTGTTGGCCCCCACAGCCCCTGCCTGCAGGGTGGTTCCCAAGGCATCCCTGGTACAACTCTGCATGCTTTAGGGGCATGGACAGGACAACATTTCTCCTCGCTGCCTGCAGGTCTCAGCGCACGGAAAGGGACTGGCTTGACTGTTCCCCTGCATGGCTGGAAGGGAGATGCAGGCACAGTGGGGCCCAGTCCAGCTTTCCCTGGGCAGTCAAATGACTGGGCTTTGGCTCCAGAGGGCATGGGGCCTTGTGAGTGGTTCTGGAGAGTCCACTGTGCAGTCGTCTCTGACGAGACCAGCTTGAGGACCAGGTCTCATAGCACTACACGGTGCCAGCCATGACAACATACAGCTCAACTCCCTGGGAAGGTCCAGCCCGCTGCCCGGACACTCACCTACACAGTTCTTCCCATCAGGGGTCCGGTCATACCCCTCTTGGCACAGGCACTGGAAGGAGCCGATGCTGTTGATGCACTGGCCATTCCGACACACCTGTCCCACCAGGGATGAACACTCATCAATGTCTGTGGGAGGGAAATGATAAGCACAGCGGGAAGAGATACGCACAGCATGTGAGTGTCAGTGTGCCGCCTCAGCCAGCCCTGCACCCCTGACGAGTACAACTACCCTACAGCTGCTGCCAGGTGACACACAGCCGACCCCCTGTACGCCCCGCAGCCGCTGCCGCGTTGACCCCAGTCAGCTGTCCCCGTGGTCAGGACTGCATGCAACTCACCCATGCAGTCATTATTGTGTGTTAGCTCAAAGCCAGGGAAGCAGAGGCAGTTGTAGGAGCCGACTGTGTTCTTGCAGGTCCCGTTTCCACAGGGCTGCCGGTCACACTCATCAATATCTGCAGAGAGAAGGTCACAGCTGATTCAGGGGCTGAGTGAGCTGAGAGCCGCTGTCTTGGGTGTGCAGACAGCGTCCAGGCAGCTGCACAACAGCCCTGGGGCTTGCAGGGACAGCCTGGGATCCAGAGGACACAGTGGCCCTTGGCTGTCCTTGGTGCTACCCAGCGGGTGCTGGACAGAGCTCACGTCCATCCCAACACGCGATTCACACGGCAGGGCTGCGGCAGTCACACTCACCCATGCACATGGTCTGCTCCCCCGTGGCCTTGAAGCCGTTGTGGCAGAGGCGGACGTACCTGCGCTCGGTGTCAACGCAGTCGCCGTGGCTGCAGACGTTGGGGATCTCCTGGCATTCATTGCGACCTAAACCAAAGCAAAGCGGGCACTAGTGAGCAGACGGGATGGACCAAATGGGAAAAGCTGAGGCACTGGCCTTCTGCAGACCCCTGCCTGCTGTGTCTGTGCCCGGCAGCACAGCAGAATGGGGTCTTGGTTTTCTGAGAGGTGGCTTCACAGCGAACGAGATTTACGCACTGTGATGTCTAAAAAAATAAATTTAATTGAAGAAAATATCCCGAGCTGCCGGACTAAAGCTGAACTTCACAGTGGCCTTTTTCTCATCCCACAGGAGCCCACAATCCCTGGGAATCGTTCCAAACGTACAGGTATCCCATAATCACAGCGCAGCCAGCTCATAGTCCCCAGACTTGACAAAAGACCAGGAACCCATGCACGGGACTGGCATGTCCTTCATCCTGTCCTTCCTTGGGTCCACACAGGGTGGTCTGCAAAACCTCCTGAAGAGCCTAGGCAGGGGTGTCAGTGCCTCCCACTCGTGTCTCTGGAATAGGTAGCAAACAGCTCCCATCTTACCCACGCAGGCTCCGCTAGGCGACAGCTTGTATCCAGTTGAGCATTCGCACCTGTAACTGCCCGGGATGTTGATGCAGTCGGCGTTGCGCTGGCAGAGGTTCTCCCCACTGCTGCATTCGTCGATGTCTGTGGGACGAGAGCAATGCAAACCGTGACTGTGCAGAGTGCCAAGCGCTCGGCAGGCGCCATCATCCTGGTAGGGCTGGAGTGGTTCGGTGGTGTGAATTGAATTTTAACCCTTGGTTTGCTCCAACCAGGATAAATTTTCAACCTTTTTCCATTTTTTTGGCAATAAAATAATGAATTTTAGTTACAACTCTGAACTTTCAAACAGTCAGATTTGCAAACTTTTCCTAAAAAAAAAAAAAAACCAAAAAACCCCCAAAAAACAGAGGAAGGGAAAATCAGACAGGAACATGAATGAAAATCAGCAAATTTTGTCCAACCATTGATGCAGAAAATGATGATAATTTCAAGAAGGCTGAGAACATGGACTCTGTCCATGCCTGCTGAGAGCCCTCACCATTGTGCCCCATGAGCTAGAGAGATGCTAGTGCCACGCTGAGAGCCCCCACCCTCCTGGGCACCCTTGGCAGCCTTGCCCTGGCTGCCCCGTTACCTTCGCAGATGAGCAGGATGTTGTTGTAGCTGAATCCAATGGGACACTCGCACCTGAAGCTGCCAATTTGGTTGATGCAGACACCATTCGTGCAGATAGCAGGGATCTCACTGCACTCATCAATATCTGCACACAGACAACATCTCTCAGCATCCCGGGAAGGCAGCAGGGAGGAAAGCATCCCCCATAGCTGGGAGACGGTTGCCCCTGTTCATTCTGAAAAGAAGACTAGCAGGAAAGGGCCAGCGACAAACGGTGGAGCAACTCTTGGAGGATTGGTACCAGACCGTGCAGATCATGCCAGGCTAGGGCTGCTCTGCAGAGGTCTGGGTACCCAACAGAGCCACACAAGACTCCAAGTCGTAGGAGCCATGGGATAGCTGGCAGAGCCTGCACAACACGTGTTGGGAGGGATCCTACCCAGGACATCCACCTTGCTTTCTCCAAGTGTGTCTCTGCAGCAACATGGACACCTGCTCAGGCTCTGGACCAGGCTGTGTATGGGAAGTTTAGGGCATCACTGAAACACTGAGATGGCTCGAGGGTCCCTGACTCTGTCACTGTGCCCAGCACAATCCAACGCCAGCCCTGCAGCCCCGCACTGATACCCTCTGTTGTACTTTCTTCCTGGGAGCAGAAGATGAACTCATCTCCTTCCTCTTCAGTCCCCTCGCTGGCACAGCCAAGGCCAGGTGAAGCAATGATTAACTAGTCTGTTGTCTCACAAACTACCAGCAAGTCCATCCTTCAAGACTGCAAAACATCCATGGGCAACCCACAAGTCCCAGGACTTTCAACAGCAGCTCTGGCTCTCCATCTACCAAAACACAGACTTGAACCCTCAGTTTTCAGCAGTGCCCTGCAGGCATGTGAGCGACAGGGCTATCACGGGTCTGGATCTATCTGGCCACTGGCCACCACCTGTGGTCACTGGTCCTCTGACTCTCCAGGTGGGACAGAAATCAAGCGACAATTGCAAACGCCGGGAGGTCCAAGCAGCCCAGCTACTCAGGACATAGGCTTGAAGGCTTGGCCAGCTGCTTGCAGCCATGTCTGCCACCTCTTTTCCTTGTCTCTCCTCTGCTCAGGGCTTAATTTACTAAGGGAGGGGAAGGAAACAAGCCCACAAGCACCATGGGAAGAAAGCAGAGGGGCAGAGAGCAGATCTGGCTCTGCAGGGCATGGGGGCTCTACTCACCGATCGGTTTTCCTGTGTGGATGTCGATGATAAACCCGGGGGCCTGGTTCCCACAGAGGATCTGGTACTCAGCTGGAAGGGGAACACTAAGGTCATGGCCATGCCCAGTGGGCAGAGTGGGGTGCAGCAAGGGACGAGAGGGGCAAGGGCCAACTACAGCTGGAGCGAGCAGAGAGGGGGTCTGACGGGCAGGAGGGGATCTGCACGGTGCTTGGCCAGGAGTCGCCAGGGGCTGGCACCTGGGGAACCCCGGGAACATGTATGGCACCAGGCAAAGGGCTCACACGCGCGTGCGCTGCAGGGCACGTGCGCACAATAAAAGGCACGCATACGCGTCTGTGCGCCTCGTGCGCAGGTACAGACTGACTCTGCCATGCGGTGCATGGCCAACACTCCCCCCTGCGACGCTGCCACCCACACGCAGCCTGTCCACGCAGCCTGCCCGTCATCTCCTCTCCGCAGATACTGTTCCACTCCCCTGTGTCCTTCCAGTGCAATGCATGGCCCCACAGCGCTCACCCACAGGTGCGGCCTGCCAGACACGGTGCTGTTCCTTCTCCCCATCTATTTTGTTAGTGTCTGTGCCTCAAAGAGCACGGGATCGCCGGAAAAGCGCAGGGACAGCCACAGTATCAAGATGCCCTTCCAGAAAGGTTGACTTACGGCTAGCCGGCGTGGGGCAGGGCTCGCATGGCTTGTTCCAGGCCTTGCCAATGTTGTAGGAGCAGCAGCACATCTTCTTGGTCATGTTGAAGGAGAGCTCGTTCTCACACGTGTCGTTGTAGTTGCGATAGCACACGCTCGTCCGCTCGTCTGGAA